ACTACTTGTGGTGGTGCTGGTTGATTGGCCAACATGAAGAGCCTAGTCGTCCAAGTCCTCACCGGACGGTGGTTCATGGTGTTCGCCTCCTTCCTCATCATGTCCGCCGCCGGCGCCACCTACATGTTCGGCCTCTACTCCACCGACATAAAAGACTCCCTCGGCTACGACCAATCCACCCTCAACTTGCTCAGCTTCTTCAAGGACCTAGGAGCCAACGTCGGCGTACTCTCCGGCCTCATCAACGAGGTTACGCCGCCGTGGGTGGTGCTCTCAATGGGTGCAGTACTTAACTTCTTCGGCTACTTCATGATCTGGCTAGCTGTAACCAAAAAAATTTCAACACCCCAAGTTTGGCAGATGTGTTTGTACATGTGTATCGGGGCAAACTCTCAGGCTTTCGTTAACACCGGAGCTCTGGTCACCTGCGTCAAGAACTTCCCGGAGAGCCGAGGCGTCGTGTTGGGTCTTCTCCAAGGTTTTGTGGGTCTAAGTGGTGCGATCAGAACCCAACTATTTCATGCAGTTTATGATAATGACACAAAATCTCTCATTCTGATGATCGGATGGATGCCGGCGGCGATCTGGTTTGCTTTCCTCCGAACAATTCGGATCATGAAAGTTGTTCGACAACCCAATGAGCTCAAAGTTTTCTACCATTTTCTCTATCTCTCTCTTGGTCTGGCTTCGTTTCTCATGGTGATCATTATTGTCGAAAACAGGTTTCGTTTTTCACAGAGTGAGTATGGTGGTAGTGCAGCCACAGTTCTGATCTTGCTCTTTTTGCCTCTAGCTGTTGTTATAAGAGAAGAGTATTATCTATGGAAGACGAAGAAAGAAGCCATGGATAATCTTTCCCAGCTGGAGATCACAACAGAGTTGCCGAACACCGAGACTACGTTGCCTCCGCCACCAGCACCGTCATCTTCGTCCACCGCCGCTACTGAACTATCCAGTTCACAAAAGGAAGAAGCTTCTTGCTTCAAAACAATTTTCCGGCCACCTAATAGAGGCGATGACTTCACTATCCTTCAAGCACTCTTCAGCATCGACATGCTGATTCTCTTCATAACAACAATCTGCGGCGTCGGCGGGACATTGACGGCCATAGACAACTTGGGTCAGATCGGAACTTCTCTCGGATACCCAACTCGAAGCATTAGTACTTTCGTCTCTCTCGTCAGCATTTGGAACTACCTCGGAAAAGTAGTCGCTGGTTTCGTCTCCGAAATCATGTTAACCAGATACCAATTCCCTCGGCCATTGATGCTCACAATGACCCTTGTTCTCTCATGTGTTGGTCACCTTCTCATAGCCTTTAATGTCCCAAATTCTCTCTACGTCGCCTCAGTAATAATTGGTTTTTGCTTTGGAGCACAATGGCCATTGCTTTTCGCCTTCATATCTGAGCTTTTTGGACTAAAATACTACTCCACACTCTACAATTTCGGCTCAGTGGCGAGCCCAATTGGGTCGTATATACTCAACGTGAGGGTTGCTGGACATCTGTACGATAAGGAGGCGAACAAACAGATGAGAGCTTTGGGACTCACTAGGAAGCCTGGTGAGGACTTGAATTGCACCGGAGTGGATTGTTTTAAATTGGCTTTCATTATAATCACGGGGGTGACGGTGTTTGGTGCTCTTGTTTCGGTTATTTTGGTGGTTAGGACTAGGAAGTTTTATAAGAGTGACATTTACAAGAAGTTCAGAGAGGAGGCGCAAGCAGCTGAGACAGAGATGGCACTGGCGGAGAACGGCATCATCGTCCGATCATCATTGGGACGAAGGGGGGTTGAAGATTGATGGGAATATATGTCGTTATAGATTAGAAGGAATTGTATGAAAAAAGAAGGTTAGTTGTTCCAAAAGTTTTTCACTTCTTTTGCTGGGATTTCTGGAGTGGCCAAACTGCCATTGGTTGTCATATGAAATTACAGGTATTCTGGAGTCTTTAAAAATTATGCTTTATCCCTTAAAATATAAAAAAATTATTGTTTTCATTTTGATTTTACAATTTCTATCCAACTGTTTTTTTTGAATTAATACACGATACAATCACCCGATGTGCTACACATGCATTACAACAAAGTGGTAACGGAGGATGAATCTACATTTTGAATGTTTTTCCATTCATCTCTCTTCACGTTGATTTGCTCGTATTAGCCACAAAAAAACAACTACTACATCATATTTGCAAAAAAATGTAAATTATTAAACGGAACAACACTTCAGTGTTTATCGCCTCCACGGTTACATTATCTACAAACATGCTCCCAACAATCAAGTCCTCTTATATATGCACAAAGATCTACAAAATCTCAGTGGTTCTACAAACCTGGATCATTTACCTGGTCCCCACGTGAATATAAAGCCCGTTATATCAAGGTGTACAGTCCAATTTTTTTGGAGCCATATGAACTGATAGGTTGAACCCACACTCAGTTAGTCCCACTGACCACACATCCGCCATTTTTATTCAGCTCCTTCAGAGCTGTGTCGTCTGATTGACCTTGGAGGGAGTACGAGAAACTTACACTTCCAGCATTTGGCAGCAACCTTTCTAATTCTTCCAACCCAATGCTTTGAGGTTAGATTGTTTTAGTTCAATGTGCTTCCCAATCCTGTACATGACAACACAAACAAGATCCCGGCTTAGTTGGCAAAGAAAGTTGAGATGCAAACAAGCAAAACTGTATCATACTGCAATGAATGGCATTGCATCATACACCACATGCCTTTATATACAAAATGATACGTGATCACATATGTTTTTAACAAGAAGGAAAACATTTTCAGTAATTTAAACGGAAGATTAATAATAAATGCCAAATCATGGCCATCACTTTATCAAAACACAACCTAAGTTTGAAAAGTCATCATCCAAACTCTCATAGCTCAAAATACAAAGGATATATGAGGCTTCCATGACCCTTGTTAAACCAAATTTTTTAATTTGGTGACAAGCTTTCTAAATTTGATTGAATGAATTATCAAAAATAAGAATAGATGCATGCATAAGCTCTTCTGTTGGGATCTCATACACCAAAATATCAAACTAGGACATTCCTCCATCACAGCCAGGTGTCCTCACCCACACTTATTTTTGCGCAGGTATCCTCACCCACTTCAAGTTGAGACTATCCCCAACAGCTGCCGGCAATTACTATATATCACCTGCAGCAGGGTTACACAAGGAGAAACACCCAATACATCTTCTCCTAAGCCATCACTTTAACCAACTCATCTACTCATCCATGCTCAGCGGGATACTCTTTGAAACAAGGTTGAAGAAACAGTGATGGCGCAGCCATTGGTTGGTTGGACCAATATAATCGACTTTGGAAGCCTAAGCGAAAGACTAGGAATTTTTTGTCCAAAAGGAAGTGTAATTGGTAGTTTTATTATTATTATTTGATTTATGAGTATTTGTTTAATTATGAGTATTAATTAGAGTTTAACTAAGAAATTATTATAGAGTTTTAGTAGGATAGAGATTTGAGAGTTTGATTATGAAATTCTTTTAATATTTTAGTAAGAAAGTAGTTTTTATTTTAGTAAGGGATTTGACCTATAAATAATGGTGTAATCCCAACTATTTTTAATTAGAGAGAGAGTGATATAATAAAAAATGGTTCTCCGTGGAGAATTTATTTATTTCTTCACCGATTTATTGCGAGGATGAGGTAAACCCCTTTCACCCCCTCTTCTTTCTTCTTTCTCTTTCTATTCTGTGATTTCTAATCCTTCACGTTCTACATCAATTTGATATCAGAGCATAACTTCGATTCATTAAAAAAAAGAAAACTCTCTCAACAGATTCAAAAAATTGCAGCAACATTCCAACTGTTTCAAAAATTACAGAAACACCCCACAAAATTTCAGAAATTACAGTACCACCATCAAAAATTTCAAAAATTACAGAATCTTCCCTTAGAAGTTCTAGAATTGCAAAAATATCTCCAACATATCCATAAAATTACAGAATCATCCCCAAAAAAATTTCAAAATTTCCTTTTGATTATGATGGTTTCCAACGCCGAACTAAATACTAAAGTGGAGGTTTTATCCCAAGCACAAATTGATTCACAAAAGACCATGAATGAGAGGATAGATTCACTAGAGGCGTCTATAGCATCACTAAAGGAGATCATGGAAGATTATCTCTTAGATAAAAAGGGTAAAGGAGTGGACATGCATGCAAATCATGATTCCTCCTCATCGGCTATCAATCAACAACCAATGCTCGCACAAGTTCCTCCACCACAAGACCCAGTTCGAGAAGACCCAAAATTGTTTGATTTTGATAAAGGGTTTAAATTAGAGGTTGAAGGTTTTCACGAGCACAATAATCCCGAGAAATTCCTTGATTGATTGCATAGCATTGAAAGCTTCTTCAGATGGTATCGTTTGACCGATGAGAGGAAGGTATTCTTTGCAGAATCAAAATTGAAGGGTATAGCAAGACTTTGGTGGGTAAAGTACCAACAAAATCACTTTGACCAATCATGGGATGATATGAAGACTGCTATGACCTGTTACTTTGTGCCTATTAATTATAAGCAACGAGCTTATCTACAATTTACACAATTGAATCAAGAGAGTAAGTCTGTGGAGGAGTACACAAGAAAGTTCTACAGCTTAGCCATCCGATCAGAGTTTCTATGGATTGAGGATGTAATGATTGCCATGTACGGGCAAGGTCTCAATTCACAAATTTCTACGGGTTTAGCTACAAGTAGACTTTACACCATAGCAGATGCAGTTCAGGTTGCTATCAGATAGAAGATGAGTTGAAAAAGAGATCTTATATGAGATCTTCTATGGCACCTCCAACCCGGAATGAGAGAGCTACCGTAGATGCAAATCAAGTTAAGTCCACCAATAAATCCCAAGAGAATACTTTTTACTCAAAATAAATCATCTCGGTCTAGTGTTAATTCTTCTTCTCAAGGAAATACTAATTCTAAGACGAGATGTTTTAATTGTCATAGTTTTGGTCATCTTTCTTTTCAATGCCCTTCAAAATCTGTTGTTGTGATTGAAAAGGAAAATTCGAAGGTGCATAATGATTCTAATGAACCAGAATTTGAAACAGAGATTGTAGAACCTCGTGATATAGGTGAGGTTAATTTTGATGGTTTGGATGATGATCAGTTTAAAGTTGTTTTTCGATCTCTACTTATTGCTAATAAAGAAGTTGCTAATGGTGAGTTTATTCATCGAGAAATTTTTTTTCAGACAAGAGTTTGTTGTAAAGGGCAGATATGTTCGTTAGTGATTGATATGAGAAGTTGCACAAATGTGGTATCAGAAGAGGTTGTGAAGAAGCTAAATTTGAAAGTTGAACCACATCCGGAACCATGCATGTAGCATGAATCACTAATACAAAACTGAAAGTTGATAAGAGATGTCCAGTTATATTCACCATTAAAAGTCTTAAGGAGACTGTCATTTGTGATGTATTGTCTCTCAAGCTTTGTCATATACTTTTAGGGCGTACTTGGATATGGGATCGTGATGCACAACATGCGGGGCGTGCTAATACCTATTTTTTGTAATTGGAAGAAAGAAGTATTCTCTTACTTGTGCTACAGATGCGCGTACATTACAATTGAAAAAGAGTTCGTTGTTGATTCAGAGAGCTTCTCCATCATATGGTATTCTTGGCCCTTCTCCTTACTCGCCGGAGTCGAGTTCTTTTCAGCAGGGGAGAATTGATGGCGCAGCCATTGGTTGGTTGGACCAATACAATCAGCTTTGGAAGCCTAAGCGAAAGACTAGGAAGTTTTGGTCCAAAAGGAAGTGTAATTGATAGTTTTATTATTATTATTTGATTTATGAGTATTTGTTTAATTAAGAGTATTAATTAGAGTTTAACTAGGAAATTATTATAGAATTTTAGTTGGATAGGAATTTGAGAGTTGATTATGAAACTGTTTTAGTATTTTAGTAGGAAAGTAGTTTTTATTTTAGTAAGGGACTTGGCCTATAAATAATGGCGTAATCCCAACTATTTTTAATTAGAGAGAGAGTGATATAATAAAAAGTGGTTCTCCGTGGAGAATTTATGTGTTTCTTCACCGATTCCTTGCGAGGATGAGGTAAACCCTTTCCACCCCCTCTTCTTTCTTCTTTCTTCTTTCCTTTTTCTCTTTCTATTATGTGATTTCTAATCCTTCTTGTTCTACATCAACAATCAAACAACTTTAGGGAACCTATGAAAGGATTACTCAATTAATTCATTGTCATCGTAGCCATAAAATGGTGAGGCTTTTATCCAAACAAGAAAAGGAAAGAGAACATTTCTGATCTCTCTTAACAGCAACTAAGTTAGAGGAACCCCAGATCCCCATACTACTGACTTCTTTCAACAAGATATAAGATGATGCACTACTATTAAGTGGTCCTTAATCCAGATGCAAACTACGAATCAAATGAGATATCCAGTGGCATGTGCATACACTTATTATGAATGTATATATGCATATGTACACACTAAACCTTTCAACATTTAAGAAAACAAGAACTTGGCATTATGATTCAGAAGAAAGATGAGAGGGGGAGGGGACAACCCTTCAAATATAAATGAAGAAGCAACAGCACTCACACAAGATCTGATGGAAGCCTGAAACCACCTATACGCACACGCTTTAGCGAATAAATCTGAAACAATAAGTAGAAGCTTACTAAAATATAACTCAGACAAAAACTGGAAACAAGTCAAATAATGATGAGGTAGCAAGAGATAATCGAGCTAATCCCCAGCAAATACTGCCACCTACAGAATATACCAATTTACATTTAACATTGCAGGCAAGGACATGACCATAGCAATCTATATTACCCAACCATAATGCATACTACAGTATCATAAGTATGCAATGGATGTAGGCTTTGATTAATACATATTACATTGAGAAAGGACAACACCATAAAGAAAATGTTGTTATAATGAATGTACAAGTCACCTTTTGATGATCAGAAGTGTCGGTTATTTCAAGCTAACTCAGCTATATAACCTTTACTGGAAAAAATTATAAGCCCCTTTAGCTTAATATAATCTAAGGTGTGGCTCCAGCGCACGACACTCCCGCCGCTGCGTAGTATAGGAAGGGTCAAATGTATGTAGTTTTATTCTTCGATGCAGACAGGCTATTTTTGAGACTCGAAACATTGACGCCTAAGTCATGATTGAGCAACCTTACCGTTACGCGAAAGTCTCCCCTCCATCCTAATTTACTATAGAATTACTTCATTGGAAGTTGGAATATTAGATATCCGCCATGAGTCATGATGAGTAAGCACAAGGAATCCTTTAGATGGAAAAATGAACTGATCAATATCCAAAACTGACCTGAAGTCCAGCATTTTTCACAAGTTCACGGACTTCATGATTTCTTCCCTCATGAACCTGCACCAGTTTAATCAAAGAAAGTCATTGTCGCAAGGCCGATGAGAAAGGTCAAAGAACAGTCTTTTTATCTTTCTCTACATAAGATGTGTAAATATTACAGGGGAAAAAATTTCCCCTTCCTTTGGGAAAAGGAAGCTTTTCTATTTTAGATGCTGGGTTACAGAATAGATAGTCAGTTATGATGGAACTTTTTACTTTCTATATGCCAGAATCGATGTTGAAGAATAGATTGGACAATTCAGCAATTGAGTATTGTCTTACTTGACACAATTGTTTGAAAATGAATGGATTTCGCATGAAAAATGATTATATCTAATTCATAACTAGAATATCTGGAAATAATAGAAGCTATATAAATGATTTATTTCCAAATTTACTTCAATTTATCCAGATGATGTCAAAATGCATTCAGAAACATCCATTTTTAAAGGCATGTGTTGCATGTGAATGATTGCCTCTATTTAGAGTTAATCTATTTCAGTTCAGATTGTCTGCTTCATCCCAAAATACTACTCCAGAGAGAAGTTGGGAACTACTAGAAATGGGAACAGGGGTATAGGAAATTTTGGAAGATATCAGAAGTTCAAAGATCTTAGTATCAATTTGAGTTGATTCTAACTGAGTGATTCAGTTCACCCACTTCCTTGTTAAAAGATAATTTTTTGCTTGGTCAAACACATTTCAGAAATTTTCCTCAAGCTGTGGTATATACCTGCTGCTCAGCTATGTGAAAAACCAAAATAAACTAATTACAAACGTATCAGGAATATTGTACGTCTTGAGTGTGAATGGTAATCAGTGGAAAAGAGAATGTCATTCGAAAGAATTGGTCAATTGCTGTGCATCTAGAAAGAAAATATATGTACCACGATCCGAAGTCGAGGTCTTGATACATCCGGTTGCCGCGGAAGTAGCTCCACAACATCTGGTGTGCAATGGACACCTTCGATAATGGTTCCCTCACTGATGGCTATTAAGTGCCGCTTATTGACTAAACCATCTATAGTTGCAATGTATCTACAACAAAAAATATGAAGACGTAAGTCATTGGGGAGAAGATGGAGCATTAGAACATTGTTGTTATCATGATGATGACTGAATAAACAGATAAAGCAACAACAATGTGTCATTCCAAAACTGGAAAGCCGCAAAAGACCACCAACTCCTGCCAGTACATGAGCAATTCTTTCAATTCACCACAAAAAACATATTGCCCAACGACCACCAGATGCTATAGCAACTTAACATAATTTCAATACACACAGTTTCAGTTTCAGTTTCAACTTCTAGGTGTGAAGAGCCCATTGGATGCTGGAATAAGGAGCAAAAAATGAAACCTTACTCCTTTGTTAGATTAGATGAAGGATGTGAAATCTTTTGAGCAAACTCCCCTGACAAGCAAGGCAACCGTATCAGATGAATTCATTGGATTTCAATAACTATAAGAAGAACTCTCGGTTATATCAGATTCAGCATTATAGATACCATCATTTGTAACAAATATCAGCCCAGTTGTGGCAACATCAAGGCGGCCAACGGTAAACAGTCGTGGTTTTGGTCGTCCCGGATTTATTTTATCCTGAGGAAAGAAAAAGAACACTACTGTGGAATTAATTACAAGGCACAAAGGAGTATGTATTAGAAACAGTACATCTTTAAGCAAAAATGGCGAGTTGAAATGGCATGTACAACTAGCGCATACCCAACTCTTCAAATAATCATCAAATAATGATATCACTGGTTTGGTCTCCTTCTCCCCAGATGAACATATGTATCTGCAATGATGTTATTTGCATTAGCTCCATTGATACATACGGAACAGAAAACCAAGAACTTGTGTAGAATGTTGATGAGGCACAAAGATGACAAACCCTTTTGGCTTGTTCAAAGCAAGATAGACTTTTGGAGGCAGTTTCTTAGGAAGGCGGTTCCCATTGACGTATATCATATCCCTTGCGGGATCAACTTTAGTCTGCCCATCATCCAAAGCAATAATACCATATCAACAACAACCACCTAGACCTTATGATACCAGACATTGTAAGACAGGATATTATCTGTGTAAACACTGCATTTGGCATCATGGAATTGGCATTTAAAATGGTATTGAGGTAAAATTAGCCCCAATTTTGACTAAAACAAATGATTAAAATTTAATTTTGGTGCATAGTTTTTGTCAGCCTGAAAACAGAAATATTTTGGAAACAAAATGAAAACAAAAAAATAAAATAAAATGTGTTCCCTGAAATATTCCAAAACATTGATTGAAACAATCCCCGAAACACCTCAGAACATGAATTTCACTATACAATTTAGTCGTTTCAATCCTTAACTAGCACCCAATTCAAGATCTCAATTCCATGCTCCCAAACTTATCACTAAACATATTCCAGTAACACAAACTGCAAAGGAATTCAAAACCCACACATCACTTCCCAACAAGTGTAAAGCAAACTCTGAAGATAGAAAATTTTAAGCAGCAAACATAGTCATTTAAGAATTGCACATCTGCGAAAGCATGATACGCAGAAGATGTAATATAACTAGTAGTCCTGACCTGAGGTATATTGCACACAGACCCATTGACAGTCACTTTGCCTTCAAATATAAGCTCTTCACTGCTCCGTCTCGATGCCACTAACAAAAAAAAAAAAAAATCCGCATGTTTCAAAAGTATGAAACCGACAACTACTCTACCAAACAAGCATTAAAGTTCATCCAATCGTCATTTTTAAAGCCCTTCTTTTTGCCTCTTTAAATCCAAACAATAGAGAAAAGCAAAACTGTAGCACTAGATCATGAGCTTCAAATGTAAGCTTCTCCGAACAACACGCCCAAAATAATGTCAAGTTAAAATGTACAGTCCAAAATTCAGCAATCAAACATACCCCAATTGACAATGTACTTCACATTTCACATACACATACACAAATATAAGAGTCATTGCTCAGTACAATGCCATGCTTGTTTTTTTAAAGTGCATGCTCTCGTTCTCAAACATCGTGTAGACTCATTAAATTCAAATTGCCTAGTCATCGCCTGACTGGTCAAGATCAAGGCCAAATTTTTTTCTTCGTCCGTCAAAGCTCCAAGGTTCACATCAAGGTTGGTCTAATGGGATCAAAGAAAATTTGCTAAAACTAAAGTAGTGGCCGACTCTGAAACGAAATGGATGTTCAACCTCAAATTGGACCAATCCATAGGTGTAGGTCCTACATATATGCATTTCTTTATGTTCAATAACAAGTCCTCCCTCCGTTCCTAAATATATGTCGTTTTACACAATTTTTTTTGTTCCATAATATCTATCATTTTATAAAACCAAAACATAATTCATATTTTTTCTTTTAAATTTACCCTTATCTCTATCTTTCAATAAGTGCTTAATAGATTAAATATAGGCTAAGTACTTTTCACATTATTTTCTTTTCCAATACGCATTAAATAACGGTATTTTAGTTTTGTATAATTATTTTTTATTCATATTAGAGTTATTTAATAGTTTCCTTAATTTATTTGCAAAAACCTTTAATATTTAAGAACGGATGGAGTAGAAGCTAAAGTTACCTCCTGCGGTGGCGAGAACCTTACTGAGCCGCTGCGGCGGATCCCTAAAATTCTCATTGTAGAACCTCCGTGCAGCCTTGGAATGCTTCGGCTGTGAGGCCGTAGCTTTGGTCGAATAGCTCTCTTTTTGCTGTGTTTTCTTCTTCTTCTTCTTCTTCGTCTCGGCATTGGCCATGGCGTGTAGGAGACTCGCCGGAGGTGTGGACTGGAGTGTGAGATTTCCGTTCTCGTCGCGAACAATCCATGGAATGAAGAGTTGCTTCCCGAGCTGGTCCGTAAACTCGGGATCCGTATTAGGGTTGGGTTTTGCTGGCGCGAAGGTGATGTTGAATTCGGTGGCGGTGGAGGAGGGAGGAGAGAGAGAGGAGGTGATGATGGTGCGGAGGTGGTGACGAGTGTGTCTGAGTATAAGGGAGCTCTGGAGGTGTCTGAATGCTAATTTACATGGTTTTGAGAGGTGGAGGGGACTGAGGGCGGTGGAGGCGGCGGTCACCGCCGCGGCTATTGCCGCCATTGGTGGTGGGAGTGGTGTGGGATTTAGAGATTTTGGCTCTGGTGATCTGAGTTTTGGGGAAGATGATAGAATGATATTGAAGGGATAGAGTGGGCCGTGTTGGTTTGGGCTTGGATAACTTTGGACTGGGCTGGATAGGCCTAATCCAAGGAAACCGGTTAGGTCCATAGTCAGAATGGTTTAAATCCTTTCTAATTAAAGGTGTTGAAGAATCTATTAATATAAACATTATGATTAATTGCACTAGAGGTCCCAAAATATGAAATTTGTCTTATTTGAGTTCATAATATTTTAATTGCATAATTTTGGTCCCTGAAGTATTGAATATATTTATATATGGTCCCTCAAGCAGACATTGTACAAATTGCTAACGATTTTTTATCATAAACTTGTCACATACTACTTAAATATAGATGAAAAAATAATTTGAATAACTTTTAAACAATTTTTTACTCAAATTTTGGTTAAATACTTACTTAAATTACACAATTTTGATCATGAGTTATCTAAATTTTGGTTAAAAGTTACCTATATTATACATTTTTTATCAAGAGATACTCAATTTTTATTTAAGAGCTATCAAAATAATTTTTTATTCATATTTAATTATTAGGTGACAAGTTTATGATAAAAAATCGTTAGTACGTTGTTTATTTGAAGGACCATATAGAAATATAATCAATATTTTCAGAGATCAAAATGATAGAATTGAAATATTGGGGATTAAAATGAGATAATTTTCATACTTTGATACCTCTAATGTAATTAACCCTAAATATTATTATAAACATGTCAACTTATTTATTATTAATTTGAGATAAAAACAATTATTTATTAACTACTAATAAACCTCGTACTATAAGATATTATGTATTACCAAAAATTGAGTATCGATAGTGTAAGTGTTATATTTTAAATAGTAATTTATTATTATTTTTATTACGTAATTTAAAACTAAAGTGGATAGGGAGAAAAAAAGAGACAAGTTAGCTTAAATTAACGACGTTATCTAACATTGAGGAATGTGTTGATTAAATTGTTGGACATTGGGGGTTGTGCAGAGAAAATTTTTGGGCGATTTTTTTTTTTGTAATAAAGTTTGGAGCATTAGATGAAATTAAATGAACAAGTTGTTAGTTGTAACATTAGATATATTTATATATTTATTAATTTTTCTACCAACAAAAATATATATTCTATTATTTCTCTCAAAATTTCAAGATCTTTGAGAATAGAGCAATGCTATATAAACTTAAAAACTTGACTTAATGATGTGACTATTATATATGTTATTGATTTTACTGTAAATTCTAATATTTATTAAGACCCACCACCGATTCAATGATAGTAATTAATTAAGTCAAAATTTTAAATTAATTGTTCTATAAATCTATTTAACATTTTTTATTAGAGTAAGACGAAACTTGGCAAGTAGACAAATCTTGATCAATCAAGGAATAGTTATTTTTTTGTTTTTGAATAGAATCAAGGACTAGTTGATAAACCCCTGTAATTACTCTCTTGTTTTTTCAATCACTAGCTATAGATACAGAGGTAGGTCAAATTTGATCAAGTTCACTCAACTTCCATGATCCATAATCGAAGTTGAATGGCCATTATGTTTTGGAAGGCAACCAAGTCCTTAGTTCGAAGGACAACCTTTTAACTTTTTTTCATCCAAAAATAATATGAGATAATTGATAAAAAAAAAAAAAAAGCCAAATAAATTCAAAACTATAATTAAAGGAATCAAAGAGTAATTAAATCAGCATCCCCTTCTCCTGAAATTATTTGAGTTATTTGTTTTTCATACCTAGTTTAAGAATGATAGAAAATCTATAGTTCTAACATGTCCTATGAAGGCAATATACTTGTAATCTTGATCCAAGAGGTATAAATCTATTTCATAAAAACAGAAGATAAATATTTTTGTATGTGAAATTTCATGTCGCTACGTTGATTTTGGTGTTTTAACCTCCGTGACATAATAGTGCATTTTATTTGTCACTTCTTTCGTGTTTCAACAATTAGTTTAATAAATTGGAACTTCGTAATACTATTTGAACTTAATTTGTTAACTTAATAATGTGACTTCATTGAAACTATTAGATCAATATCAAATTCTAATGTCTAATGAGATCCACAATCAATCCAAAAGTTATAGTGAATTAAATCAGTAAATCTATAATATAAAATAGAACATACTTCAATAAATCTATCTGACAGTCTCAAATAAACTCATTCAACGGCCACCAACATCTCCCTCAAAATTATTCAATTTACACCGTGTTTAAGCACAAGTTACCCTAGTTAAGTTAATAAATTAGGTCCTAATAGTATTACTCCTTTGAAATAACCTTAACATCATACTCCGATTTTGCATTCCAATTGTGAGTTTTCCACTAAAAAAACCATGTCTCTCTTATTTGTGTGATTGTCTACTTTACTTGTGCAACAAATTAGGCCAATTTTTTATATCCAAATATCAATACTCTTTGCATATTTGCCTGCATACTGCCACTTGAACGCAAAGTAAGGTAATTATTATTCTGTCCCAAAGCAAAGCAAAGTCATACGAGCCTTCGTCCTGTGTAACATTCCACATGTGTACTTCGTACACATTTCACAACTACTTTTATTATTAGATAATGATACCACAACGGAGGGAATTGTCCCACCTGAAGAATGCGGGATCGTGCTACATTATCATTCATTGATTTTTTTAAAAAACTAGTCTGCATCAAGTGATGATTTTCCTNATAAAAAAAAAAAAAAAGCCAAATAAATTCAAAACTATAATTAAAGGAATCAAAGAGTAATTAAATCAGCATCCCCTTCTCCTGAAATTATTTGAGTTATTTGTTTTTCATACCTAGTTTAAGAATGATAGAAAATCTATAGTTCTAACATGTCCTATGAAGGCAATATACTTGTAATCTTGATCCAAGAGGTATAAATCTATTTCATAAAAACAGAAGATAAATATTTTTGTATGTGAAATTTCATGTCGCTACGTTGATTTTGGTGTTTTAACCTCCGTGACATAATAGTGCATTTTATTTGTCACTTCTTTCGTGTTTCAACAATTAGTTTAATAAATTGGAACTTCGTAATACTATTTGAACTTAATTTGTTAACTTAATAATGTGACTTCATTGAAACTATTAGATCAATATCAAATTCTAATGTCTAATGAGATCCACAATCAATCCAAAAGTTATAGTGAATTAAATCAGTAAATCTATAATATAAAATAGAACATACTTCAATAAATCTATCTGACAGTCTCAAATAAACTCATTCAACGGCCACCAACATCTCCCTCAAAATTATTCAATTTACACCGTGTTTAAGCACAAGTTACCCTAGTTAAGTTAATAAATTAGGTCCTAATAGTATTACTCCTTTGAAATAACCTTAACATCATACTCCGATTTTGCATTCCAATTGTGAGTTTTCCACTAAAAAAACCATGTCTCTCTTATTTGTGTGATTGTCTACTTTACTTGTGCAACAAATTAGGCCAATTTTTTATATCCAAATATCAATACTCTTTGCATATTTGCCTGCATACTGCCACTTGAACGCAAAGTAAGGTAATTATTATTCTGTCCCAAAGCAAAGCAAAGTCATACGAGCCTTCGTCCTGTGTAACATTCCACATGTGTACTTCGTACACATTTCACAACTACTTTTATTATTAGATAATGATACCACAACGGAGGGAATTGTCCCACCTGAAGAATGCGGGATCGTGCTACATTATCATTCATTGATTTTTTTAAAAAACTAGTCTGCATCAAGTGATGATTTTCCTGCAAATAAAAAAAGGAAGTAGAAAAAACGAAAGCAAAATGTATAACAGACAATTCACAGTTCATATGAATAAAGAATTTCCTTCAGAGTTTTGTGAAGGACTAGTTAACTTTATTCGCATAGAGCGTGGTAAAGTTCAATGTGCAGACTTTGAGCATATGCCTAGTGAGGATTGACTATTTTCATCACCAAGAAACATAAACAGGAACTACAAATTCCAAAGTCTACATGTCTATCTGACAGAAGAGTTCCATTATTTGGGTAGATGGGTACTCAAGAAAATCAAGTGTTTCCAGGGATTTATATGCTGTGACCAACAGCTGTTAATGGTGTGCTAAATCAGAAGTATACTTGATTAACATCTCAACATCACCTTATGCAAAAACGAGGGCATAAAAAAAATCCTCCGGGCCAAAAATAGAAAAGCTGGGGAAAAAACTGCAGGAAATGCGTACTAATAGTCCATCTCTTTAAATACTGATATCAACAAGTTCACGACCCTAGCATAAAAAGAAAAAAAAAAAGTCATGCAAGATAATTAATGCAATTTGCATAAAAAATTTATCATATGATTTGATATTAATTGAATAATGGTACTCACTAGTTGTGCTTCCCATCATGGAACTGAGCATTTTTTGAGGACTTGAAAGTCTCTAAGAATTCGTTAGCCTTCTGTACCTCTTGCTTCTGCCTTGACTTGTCCCATTGGTGTTCAGCAGCCAGTATCTGGATTATCCGAGGCAATGCCCGGCCTGCAGCATCAGTGTCAAGGAAAGCAAGCCGTGATCTCCTAGCAATGAAATCTACAGCAGATTCACAATACTCATGCCGAGCACAGAATGCAACCTCCGCTTCTAGAAAAGGGTATCCATGGGCAAGTCGCTTTCCCAGATTTTCATTCTAAGAATCAGAAAGACAAATTTGCGATGTAATTAAAGAGAAACCACTGAACCACTAGAGGAAAAAAAAAAAGTCCATCATATGCGCCATTGATCTATACGTTGAACAAGTTAAAAAAAGCACTCTTTCTCAACAGAAAGAGTTCAAATACAACTGATTTTTCCTCAAAAAAGACTTAAAAAATTCAGATGAACTCGACTAGAATTTCTTTCACATAAGAACCAAAGAAATTGAAAATTTGTGCCCCAAAATCTTGTTTGGTACTACACAAAAATGAATCTTTAATATCCCATACTTTAATGGTAAAGATCAACCACATGGAATGCAAATCAGATGCAACAGTGTCCATGTCACTCATTACAACTATTCTTAATAACTCACAATTCCACATTGAGAGGTGAGGATGAGAGAGTTCTATTCAGATGTGAGGTTTATATTCTACTGCACATATATTTTGTATCACTAATTACTAATCACCACGCAAAAGTAGCAGTCATAGCTTAATTCCCTGTAGGCATACTCAACGCTGGGAAAAAAATAGTAACAACTGAAAAAATCATGGCATTAATCAGCTTAACATTTACAAAAGATCTAAACTACATGTACATGCACAATTCCCTCCTCCGCATGAAAGCATTTCAAAACCAATATTTTCCAAAGGCACCTATGGTATATGTACCATAATTTGAATCTCTAAGTGTAATCTTTAAATAAAGTCTTTCCATTCATGCAATTTCACTTGTACTTGGAATATATTTGAAAACATAATAGTGGCTAATGAGAAGGTTCAATTCTAAAAAAAACAAAGCTCATAAAACATAAATTTCAACATAACGATGCAACAAATTGCACAAGAAACTAGACACGACAAGGCAATTGGTAAAAAAAGAAATATAAAAACATGCTAGAAGTACAAAATCAAGGCTATAATAAGGGCAAACCTGAGCTATGGTAGCCACACGTTCAGCCAAAGTACCATATGTACGAGATAAATGCTTTGCTGCAGCAGTGTCCATCACCCCTGGAACAACTTTACCACTAAATGTCATCTTCATTCGTACATATTGCTGAGCAAGTACTGTGAAAGAAGCCGGTTCCCATCCATCTGCACCAATAAGGCGTAGGTTGTGCGTTAAACTTCTGTTGGCTGGGCTCAGCTTTCCAGACTTTATAGCTGAATTAACTGCATCTTCTGCCATACTGAAACTAGTTCTAGTAAGCATATTACTCATTTACAAGAGCTTTAAAGAAAAGGAAGCTGGGGAAGACAAACAAATGCAACCGCAGATTTAAATTAATCTACTTCAAAATTAAGTTTATTTGACTGAGCCTTTATCTCTGTTATCAATAAGCCATATAGAATGCACAATTGTCGAAGTTATATCGTCCTGGGTACAGACTTGTTCACACCAATACAGTTGCACTAAAAGATTGACAACTAAAAGGCCAAGCGTGTGCTCTTCTTAGTTCTTACTTCTCTAGTTTCAAAGACAAAACCAATCAAAAAATCTATGGAAAATTTTTGAATCATTACCTTCTATAAGTAGTCCACTTTCCACCAGTAATTGTTACCAAACCAGGGAAATCTTCACAGACAACATGATCTCTGGAAATACTCTCAGTATTTTTTGCTGAAGGATCTGTTGCCAATGGGCGAATACCACTCCAAGCAGAAAGAACATCTATGCGCCGTACCTAAATTGTCCCAGCAAACATTTAGTCTCCACAGGCAGACTTAATAACAATAAGGAAATGGCATAAGAAAGACACCAAGAGTATGTCACTGTTCATGCACAGGAATACTTGTGAAAACAAGCAAACCAACATAGATGTCCATAAAAGACAGGCCCTGAGAACAACAAATTTCAGCATAGGAAACTGTTGGACTTCGGTGGATTTCTTAATTGCTAGAGAAACATATAGTCCATTTACATTTACTGCTTCTCCACCAAATGACTCTACATTTAAGCTAATCTTATCCCAACCCAAACTGGAAAACCTGACAGAAAGAAGCAAAATAAGTCTCAAATATAAGAATCAAGCTAATCGATTAAACAAGGCCTCAAATCCCCGCTAGCTGGGGTAACACCCAAGTTAAAAAGCTTCAAGTATAGGACAGAGCTGCTCAAATAAGACAAATATTCAGGTATTACCTTTAAATCTTCTGCATCAGAATTATATGTTTTCTATGGATATTTGGGGGCATGTAAGCTAGCATTCCAACACAAGTTAGACAAACACTTGCACAACACAATCACAAAGATGAAAGGAATGCAAACTGGCTTAGGAACTTGTCTGGATATCAATACAAGCAGTTTGAAATCGGCAGTAACCAACAAAACCAGTAGGTCAACTTATATAAGTGTCGCATGTAGTAAGATCTACGTTAAGATGTTTGTTGGGTTAATGCACATGAAAGTTTGAAGAATACATTACCCTCTCATAAACCCCACCGTGCAGGAGGCTCAGGCTACCCTTTTACACTTGGATGAGTTGCTATGCATGCCCATTATGTACACAAAAGGTGAACTGTTAATAAGGATATCTCATTTGTGTGATTTGAGTGCAACATAGTAAGGATGGTGAACCTAAGCCTCATAGAATGGCAAGGTGGATTTTTCAGAAATTTACCATTATCACCCTTCTGAATATTTAAGTTTCATAATTGCTGAAAAAGCTAACAAGCTAGTAGCACATGATCCAAGCATAATGCTATGACATAACAACAAATTCTCATCAACAACTGCTATTCAGATCTCAATGTGGATTTTAGTTTTTCTTTTGAAATAATGTCAAAAAGACATCTTTGCGATTACTGATAACAACTACAAATATGCTCTGCAACCGAAAGATATCTGCTATAATTCTTTTTTATCTCTGACAAATTAACATTTATCAACANAAGCAGAAAGAACATCTATGCGCCGTACCTAAATTGTCCCAGCAAACATTTAGTCTCCACAGGCAGACTTAATAACAATAAGGAAATGGCATAAGAAAGACACCAAGAGTATGTCACTGTTCATGCACAGGAATACTTGTGAAAACAAGCAAACCAACATAGATGTCCATAAAAGACAGGCCCTGAGAACAACAAATTTCAGCATAGGAAACTGTTGGACTTCGGTGGATTTCTTAATTGCTAGAGAAACATATAGTCCATTTACATTTACTGCTTCTCCACCAAATGACTCTACATTTAAGCTAATCTTATCCCAACCCAAACTGGAAAACCTGACAGAAAGAAGCAAAATAAGTCTCAAATATAAGAATCAAGCTAATCGATTAAACAAGGCCTCAAATCCCCGCTAGCTGGGGTAACACCCAAGTTAAAAAGCTTCAAGTATAGGACAGAGCTGCTCAAATAAGACAAATATTCAGGTATTACCTTTAAATCTTCTGCATCAGAATTATATGTTTTCTATGGATATTTGGGGGCATGTAAGCTAGCATTCCAACACAAGTTAGACAAACACTTGCACAACACAATCACAAAGATGAAAGGAATGCAAACTGGCTTAGGAACTTGTCTGGATATCAATACAAGCAGTTTGAAATCGGCAGTAACCAACAAAACCAGTAGGTCAACTTATATAAGTGTCGCATGTAGTAAGATCTACGTTAAGATGTTTGTTGGGTTAATGCACATGAAAGTTTGAAGAATACATTACCCTCTCATAAACCCCACCGTGCAGGAGGCTCAGGCTACCCTTTTACACTTGGATGAGTTGCTATGCATGCCCATTATGTACACAAAAGGTGAACTGTTAATAAGGATATCTCATTTGTGTGATTTGAGTGCAACATAGTAAGGATGGTGAACCTAAGCCTCATAGAATGGCAAGGTGGATTTTTCAGAAATTTACCATTATCACCCTTCTGAATATTTAAGTTTCATAATTGCTGAAAAAGCTAACAAGCTAGTAGCACATGATCCAAGCATAATGCTATGACATAACAACAAATTCTCATCAACAACTGCTATTCAGATCTCAATGTGGATTTTAGTTTTTCTTTTGAAATAATGTCAAAAAGACATCTTTGCGATTACTGATAACAACTACAAATATGCTCTGCAACCGAAAGATATCTGCTATAATTCTTTTTTATCTCTGACAAATTAACATTTATCAACAATAGAAAGTTGGTACAAGAAGAAAAAAATGAGACCACGACAGCAACAAAAAAAAACAAAGGATGGCAACAACTAAAGTTAAGGCTAAAGCCTGAAAACGAAATACTAAGCATTAAATTATCTTCATACGGTATCATCATAGATATTGAGGTCCACATGGATCACATCAAAGAAGATGATACCCGATACGTTGTATTTTTTAATCATGATATCTGACAGACTAAAGTTTGTCATTTAGCCATCAAAAAGAGAATGACAGTCTTTGCCCAAACCCTATTTGAAGTATAATAGTCAAGAAAAGCCCAGATCTTAGGAGTTATATTGATTCTTTAATTAAAAATGTAGGAATGCATAAATTTAAAAGCGAGAGGGACTGACGTTAAGTTTCAGAAGTAATTTCATTTCAAAAAGAAAAAGAACACACGAGGAATCCAAACAGTGAAACCCACAAACCTTAACATTCAGGTAATCACAGATGGCATCCAGTATGAATTGAATCTCGTCCTCATGAGGTTCCGGTAGCATCGTAATGGACGTGTTAGAATCTGTGGTGCCAGCAACTGTTCTCCCCAGCCAGGGGAGCATGAAGACAACACGTCCATCCTTAGTTTTGGGAACAATTAAGCCCATCCCCTCAGGAGAATAGTAATCAGGAAGCACGATATGTACACCACTACTAGGACAGATCATAGGTTTTGCATCTTTGTCTGCCATTTTCCTAACAGAATCACAAAATGGCCCTCCAGCATTCACCACAACTTTTGCATACGTATCGAATTCTTTGCCTGTACACTTTGACAAGAAATCAGGATCATAGAAACAATACTAATCACATCATATAACCCTACAGAGAACAAACATTCATTATGGTCGCACACACTCACACACATACACACAGAAAGTAAAAAAACTACGGCGTCAACCACATGGGTACTGATGATAAACTACTACTTTTTCTATTTCTTCTCATTGTTTTGTTATATTAAGAGATAGGAGAGGGGGGTTTGGACACGTAAAGATTCAATGTCTTGTGTGATGATTATAAATCTCACTGTGACACCATAGCTACAAGATATATTCCTATGATAAAACACATTAGACAAAACTAAAATGTGCAAAAATAATACAAGAGACAGAGGGAGAGCAACAAGCAGACTATAGCAACCACAAGTGGACAACCAGTGAAGAACACAAACAGAAAGCATAATTCAAAGTTGACTTCTTGAAATACACAAGGAAATAGTAACCAGAAGTGGAAGGTATACGAAGCCTAATAATCTTTTACAAAATACAGAGTTTAAGTCCTATTGCACTTCAAATCAGTGCAACTGTACTAATAAATGTTTTCAAGTGGTAATAATGCAATAAAATGTAGTGAGTTGTTGTACCTGATAAATTGTTTCGTATACGTGCACCTATTATCTTCCCGCTAACCTCATCTTTAAGAAAGGAAACTGCTTCGGCATAGTTAAGAATGGCTGCACCTGCTAATGCAGCAGTCAATGCTAATGCAACATTGAGTCGAGAGTCATTCATTTGTCCATCGTAATAAACAACTGTTCCTTTCAAGCTTCTATCTTTACCCTTCGTTGCAAGAGTGGGGAAGAGTTCAATGGACTCTTGTGCAGAATAATATCTGGACAAGTGTAACAGGCGTCGCCCGGCAACCAAATCATATAGTTTCAAGCCCATCCAGAAGTAGACCACCTCAAACCAGTCAAAACATGGTGTCATGCATGGCAAAGCATGGCAGAGGTGTGGAGCATTCTCAATAACCTGTTTACGCTCCTCGAGGGCATGGAAAACAAGCTTCAATTGCCCATAGTCTAAATTAAAAACAGCTTTCTCCAAGTAGCGAACTCCTAAAAAAAAGTTGGCTTAATGAGTAATGTATATAAAAAAGGACAATTATTGAAAAACTATTCAAAAACCTATTTAAAACAAATAAATAAACGAAGAATTGTAGGAAAGCGATATCCTTAAAATCTATATCGAGCAACTAGCAGAACTTGAAAAGAGATTGTGTATTATATATCTATTTAATATTAAGGTCGAAGGTTTTGCAGCCACCACAAAGGTCATCAGGTCATTGTTTAATACAATTAACAGCTCACAACAATCAGTAAAAGGCTAAATCTGATCAAAGATAATGACTAATCAATATACACAAGGCAGATTAACAATACAGGATAATAGGAGAAACGAAGGCACTCGTCGAAGTTAGAAGTGGCACCAACCCCAAGACACATTGAGGGAAAGTGGTCTCATATCCCTCAATTGGTTGGGCAATGTATAGCATAACCCAACTAATACACTTGCACAGCAAAGTTATCTGCTGTAAGCTGGAGGTAGGTAAAAAGGAACATAAAATAGCGTGGGTCAAGGCCTTTAAAAAAAAAAAGGGATAATTGCTTTTTACCTCGTGGTTTTGGATAGATGCACCTTACCTACTTGACATTTAAAATTTTGCATATTACCCCCTTATGGTTATGTATTAAAATGAAATAATTAACACCGTTAATAGAATAGTAAAATTACCATACTACCCTTTTTTTTGTCTGATTTACTCTCGATAATATCAGTCAAACAGCTGACCAAAAAAAAATTAGTCAAATAGACTGAGAGAAAACAAAGCATTTTATTTCATTCCTAATCATCAGCCATTGCATTGGCTTCTCTAAAAGTGTGACTGATTTGGAAATCAAGATTCAAGACCCTTTAGCAAGAAAGAAATCTGGGAAAGGATACCACGTAGTTTCCAATTATTCATTTAATGGATAATTAAATCTGGGAATGGAAAGTTACTCATTTAATGACCATAGCTATTCTAGTATAAAGGGCATTTTAGGCACTTAGACAATATTTTTTTGGAGGGAAACAATGAAAACAAAGTCCACAACATATTTTGAGCATGTGAAGTACACTCTCCGTTAAGTTAGATGATAAAAATAACGGTTTCACTTTGGTACATAACCATAAGGGGATAACGTGCATAATTTTAAACGTTAAGTGGGTAAGATACTTTTAAACGAAACCATAAGGGGGTAAAAAGCAATTAACCAAAAAAAAAAGATGTGGTTTGTTTCAAGTTTAACCAACATGCAACTTTGCAAAGATCCCCAGGAGATAACTGGTTAAATTTAGACTTGTGTGTGACACCATGGAGGAGTTAGAAATAACAACAAAGCCACCCTAACCAAAAATATCATGAGAATTACATATTGACAAGTAAAATACTAAATCAATGGATGAGCATTGTTTGGGAAATTCACATTTTATGCTATTAGTTTAGAGCTTGAACTTCAAATTGAGACATTAAAAGAAAACAAAAAACTTAAAATTAAGAACCAGTCAATTTTATCCTTCCGTCATGCTATGAAATAATCAAGTACTAGTGTACAACTCAACAATCACTCGCAAAACAAGCAAGAGGGGATACTGACGGGACGTGTGTAGCTCGGCACTTATAGTTCGACACGTGGAATGATAGAGACTGCAGATGCGTCCTACGAGCTTCAATCTCTCATAAGCCGAGACCGAGCAATCAGTGTCCAGACAGGGGGAACATGCATCACAAGGAGACAACAATGCACTTCGAGTTTTGGGAACCACACCACAGGTAGAATATTGATGTGACGAATAATCATGGTCTTGTCACGATTAAATCATAACCTGCCTTGAACTGTCGGAAAGGCAGATGCATGACCCTCATTGACCGAATAGCCCCAAGACGCGTCAAATTGAATACTCGGCACTGAGCCATAAATGCTTGGGTCTATACCGTGAACACTAAGCATAGAGTACTTGATGTTAGGGATGAAATGATGGTCAAGATGTGGTGCGTCATAAATGCTCACCTTCCCGAGTAATAAAGTCATGATTGTGTCTCGTTTTCAAGGATTAATGGGGTACGCAGGAGTAAACCTATTATGCGACTCAAGGACAAGATCTGATGTGATGGCCTTCTTAGGAAGGATTTCAACTGTAGGTTGCCATGCCTATTTCTTAAGTACTTGAGTGTTTGCCATATCATTATATTTGAAGGTATAAATACCCCAATGAAACATAACACAGGTATGTATGCTGAACTAACTTTGCACTATACACTTATCCTCAGAATATTGAGCGCTGACTAACTTAGGTATTAGAAGGGATAAGCCAGGTACACCCCCGATACCTTTCTAACTTTGTTCCTTATTTCAGGAATTTCATTCAAGCTCACCCAGGTACAGACTATCCCAAACTATTGTAAGAAATCACACATGCAATTTGGTGCCGTCTGTAAAATAAATCGAATCAACATTCCCATAGCAAGTACCATGGTGAGCACTCGCTCTCATAGTAATACGGAGGACAGTTGTGCCCCCTCCCTTGTCTAACAGAGTCTCAGTTGTTAGATTAGTCTGATGGTATTCGACGGTACTTACGACACACCCAACATGCTGATCAGAGCCTTGATGGGAATGGGCTTTTGGCCCGAGAATTGATGGAATTGGTAGAAAAATGATTGAATAGTCGTCTGAAGCAAATAGAGCGCAAAAACATGAATGCACTCAACAAACTTAGCGACTTCGAGTGCTCGACTGGGACTTTTGGGGAACTTGCTGCCATAGCAAGAGGCAGGCTAGTCAATGTGAAGGCTTTTCTGAACACAATCTCTGCCGCCAGCTAGGGCGAAAGGCAGATTTGCATCCTTCCAAGAATTCCCTAGGGGCAATCCAGACAAAAAAGGAAGAAAGCCCAGGCGTTGCCATACGGAGACCTCTGACATAAGCTATTTGGGGCCGCCGAGAAATAGGGATCTTAAGAGGACTCGACTTTCTCAATTAAAGATGTAGGAGTCCAAAAGACCCAAAAGAAGGGTCACCGTAAAGAAGATCTCCGCTCTCATCTCAATACTCTTTGCCAAAAATCACGCTGAGAAAAATTAGAGGATGATGCTGAAGACGAGCCGATTATATCCCCTTTTGTTCGCAGCATCACGGAGGTGGAGATGAAAAGGAAATTCATGGTCCCCCATAAGTAGTTTATGTCCACACCAACCACAAGTTATTATGCCTAGTATTCTCGATGAGTCTCGCGGATACTGCCATAAAATGGCATGAGAGTTTTTTCCCCAGGGCATCAAGTCATGGAAACAGATGACTGAGCAGTTCGTGGCTCGATTTATAACCAGCAACAAGAGATCAAAAGACGTCGGTGCCCTCAAAGCGTAAGGATGGAGAGGCCCTTCGATAGTACGTGACTAGGTACTGGGAGGAGGTCAATAAGGTGGAAGGATGCTCTGAGACGATAACAATCGCGACTTTTAGGCTCGGATTGTGCTGGGACACCAACCTATATCGGTTTCGGATTAAATGGACTCCCGTCGACATGAAAGTCCCCATAGGCCGTATTGAAAAATATTCAAAGGTGGAAGAAGAAATCATCATGGCTAAGGCCAAGGTTGCTAGCGCCAAGAAAAAGGAAAACGAAGTCCTGAGCAAGAAAGGGGTAACAACCCCAGCTCCGACTCGTCTATCCTTCAAAGGGATCCACATAGTCGTCAAAGAACTCATTTAGAAGTTGCTTCACAAAATTAAAAGGGAGTGATTTTTTAAATGGCAGCCTAAGGTGAAAGGAGATCCCTCCACCCAGAGTTCGACTTATCGGTGCTTCTGTCATTGGGATACCGGCATCTCACTAAGGATTGCCAGGTATACAAAGCATTCCACGAGAAGCTCATATAGGATGTGCACCTCGGCGAGTTCATCGACGATGCAAAGCTGGAGATGCTTCTAAAACCTTTGACGGCTGAGGATGCCACCACCATCATCCACGTTGGAGAGGCCAACCTATAATTCCCTTTACGTAGACCTGTAGTGGTGCAAATAAGAAAACTATGAGGACAAGTTAAACGAAATTGCAATGATAAGTCGAGAGTTTTGCGTGCCCAATAGCATAAAAAAAAGAAGATAATAGAAATAAAAAGGCCCCAATGCCCACAAAGTTTGAAGAAAGCGATAAAATAAAACATCCCCATCACAAGAATTTCAACTTTCAGCACCACCTTCTTGGTTGCTTCTGCCCTGAGCACCACCATGTCGTCTCGCCTCCAAATCACCCTCACCACTTACGCCGCCTAGATCAATGAACATATTTTCGACTTCCCCAAACTCCTAAGGATTCCGATGGATGACCGGGGTATCTAGGAGTATAGGATCCTAAGGATGAAAAGGACGCACAGAAGAAAGAAGCTGAAGAGGAAAGACATCACAATTTCATCTAAATCTCTGTCATTTACTGGGATTGGCTCATTTGTCGGTGCCAAGCCCCTTGCCACATTCATAGCTGCCACTTCCTCCCGTCCCTCCACGGACAGGTCTTGCTGAGCATCCTGAGGAGGAGGATCATTCTCTTCATCAGATGTCGGCAAGGTGACGTATGGATGTCACTGGAACAGCTCAGACTCAGCGTTCACCCTCGCGCCCCGAAGAGCCTTATCCCACCCTTCCTTGAAGGATTTGTTCTGATCGTATGTGAAGGCCTTCACCATTTGAAGTTGGCACTGGTTGAACACTTAGAGGCGAATTGAATTCTCTTTGCTCTCACTGTTCGCTTATGCCTTAACCAAGCCTTCAACTTTGTCTATCAGGGCAGCACAGTTGGCCTCAGCTTCTAATAACTTGGGCTCGACTATGAAAACCTTCGACTCTGCCTCATTTTTCCTCCTCTCAGCCTCAGCCTCAACAACTTTGCTCTTTTTCAAATCGGAGGAAAGATCATCCATGCGCTTCATGAAGTCACTAATCTGTTTCACCTAATCGGCGATGGTCTTCTTGACATGGTGAATATGGAGATCCTTCTTGTCAAGCTTAGATTGGGCTTTCTCAACCTTGGTCCTATAGTCCTAGAAGCAGTCAATGATTTCTGCCATTTGATGACAAGCTAGAAAGCCAGTTGATTGGAGGATCAGAGATGAAAACTGAAAAACAAAAACATAAAGGATTTGTGGGGACGTACTACCAAGTTAATTTGAATCACCCACTGGAGGAGACGATTGTTCGAGTGATCTCGGTGGATAATAGTGTTGGCCTCGAGATACAAGGCCCCGCTAATAACCAACACAACGTCGACCAATTGGATGATGGAACCAGTGATTAGTACAACTTTATCGTTGCGCATGACCACCCTCGGGGTCCAATCTTTGGCCTACTCGGCTTGACGATGGGCAGCGTACAATTGCAATAGCGGGGGTGAGGATTGTGGAACCAAATGATGGGCAGGAAGAACTCCGGAGTCATGATGACATATGATCCTTCGCTCTTGAGCAGGATCCTCTTCCCAACCTCAAACTTTTGGGAGGCAGAGGCTACAACGATTGTTAACGAGACTATTGTTGTTGCTATTGTTTCTGCTGTTGTTATGAAGGGGGAGCGGCGGTGATAGCCGCGGTCTCTAGACTTTCGGCAGTGATCTCGGGGAAATAGAACATGTCTAAATTAGAGGAAACAGTAGGGGTGGCCTCGGAGTCTCTGTGGAGATCTCCAAGTTGGCTTCGTCCTCTTCTTCTTCTCTCAAAGAATGATGAGACTAGATCAAGGGGTCAAAAGCTTCTGGGATTTGAGAGAAATAGGTGTAACCTAGTCTGTATCCTAGCAGTACATTGGCAACCCAAGCAAAATGGTCTTCTCATTGGTACTTCCACACCATGAGGATGTCCTCGAAAGTGACTGAAGACCTCAACAGCTACACAGTTTCGCTCTTGTACCTTTCCTCTGCATAAAAAGAGAAGTTAATACATAAATTATTAAAGAGGCTTTCATAAATTAATACATAAATTAATACCTACGCACCTGAGACACTCATTTCCTTGGGACAAAAGAGGCTTTCATACTTGGGGCAATCACCCTTCTCCCATCTTCCACTAATCATGACGAGATCTCGGGTGGAGCCTTTATCAAAGTCAGGCAAGTGGGTGACCAAGTCCATTGAGGAGATTGTGAAGGATCACGAACTTGGTGTTCGATTTCCATCCTTAGCAAAGAACTACTCAAAAAGTCAAGCAGCGAAAGAGAGAGAATCGTCTGAAGAGTCTCAAACCCAAAAGTCATTCTCCTATTTATACCACTTGATGTGGGAGCGGTTACCAAAGAGATAGAAGCATTGAATGCAACTTTAAAAATATTTGGCTGAAGTGTGTGTAATAGAAAATAGAGGCATGCACGAGAAGCCTCCAAACCCCTCACACTACGTGTTCCATGATGCAAGGGAACCGGAGGCTAGGAGGCAGTCAACAGGCGGCTCGCAACTCATAGTTTGGCACCTGGCATGAGAGAGACATCAGATGCATCCCCGAGCTTCCATCTCCCATGAGCCGAGACCAAGTAATTGATGCCTAAACTAGGTGAACATGCATCACAAGGGGACGACGATGCACTCAGAGTAGCTCGAGGAGTAAATTTCTCTTAGGAACTGTACACAGGCAGACTATTGATGTGATGGATAATCATAGCCTTGTCATGATTAAATTAGAACTTGCCTCAAACCATCGGAAAGGCAGAGACATGGCCCTCACTGACAGAATAGCCCCCAAGGGGCATAAAATTGAATACTCAGCACTGAATCATAAATGCTTAGGTCCAAATCGTGAGTACTAGGTGTAGAGCACTTGATGTTCAGGATAAACTGATGGTCAAGATGTGGTCCGTCATAAATGCTTGGCTTTCCGGGCAATGAAGTCATGATTGTGTCCCATTTCCAAGCATTAATGGGCATGACCGCAGCACACTTACTATGCAGCACGAGGACAAGATCTGATGTGATGGCCTTCTTGTGAAGGATTTCACCAGTAGGCTACCAGGCCTAGTACTTGAGTGCTGGCCACATTATCATATTTAAAGGTATAAATACCCCAATTAAACTTAAAACAGATATGCATGCTGAATTAGCTTTACACTGTACATTTATCATTTGAATCTTGAGCATCGACTAACTTAAACATTGGACGGGATAAGTCGTGTACACCCCCCTTTCTAACTTCGTTCCATGTTTTAGGAATTTTCATTCAATTTCACCTTCTAGGCTATCTCAAACTATTGTAGGAAATCACCCGTGCATATATCGTGCCCATGAAATTGAGTTTGCACTAAGATTGCAAGTATGGTATTAAAAAAAAAGGAAAGACCAGCCAAAATTGTATATCCTTGTCAGGCTTCTTATTGTTCTTTGAGACACCTTACAGATGAGCAACAGTAACACAAAATCAGGATAGACCACCGCAACTGTCTCTTGACATACTATTTACTTATTACCAATGATGAAGTATATAAAGAAATCAACAGCAACTCGACCTTCTATCAAAAAGACAGAGCCATTTTATCCTGAATGAGGAATTGGAACCAGAAACGGTCTCCGTATAAATTTCATGTAATCAAATCGCATTCCATATATAGCAACTACATAGTAACTAAAACGAAATAAACCATGAGCGAACTATAGCTGCTATTAACTCCAATTTCTTGTGATTCATTAAAGTGCGATCAAATTGAACCAAAAATGACAATTTCATAACCTAAATTTTCAAATTATGAGCATATATTCAGCATCAAACCCCCGACTAGGAATTTGCCAGCAGCAATAAATATGCAATCACACATATAGTACACATTCTGCATCCATATCACCATGTATGTATAAAAAAATAGAGAGAGAGAGAGAGAGAGAGAGAGAGAGAGAGAGATTGAATCCGAAACTAACCTCCATGAATTAGCTTAGTGGACCGCGAAGAAGTACCAGAAGAGAAGTCCTCTCGCTCAACGAGGCCTACTCGAAGCCCTCTAGTGGCGGCATCGAGAGCGACGCCGCAACCGGTGGCTCCACCACCGATAACGAGAATGTCGAGCGGATTAGCCGAACTGGCGCCGATCAGAGCCGATTCCTGAACGGCTCGGGCCGGGACGACGGCAAAGGGGTCGGAGATCTTCCTATGCACGGCGTCCAGGGCGGACCCACCGCCACGGTCGTTCGACGAGAGCGAGGGGTCACGCCTGGAAAGGTATGCGCCACCGGCTGCAGCGGCTATTGCGGTGGCGCCGAGTCGACGGAGGCGAATGGAGGTGGCCATGAATAAGGCAGTGACGAAGACACAGAGACAGAGACAGAGACAGAGAGCGAAAATGGTTCGGAAGATTCAATTATTTTGGTTTTGAAAATGGTTGCGTTTGGAACAGGAAATCAGAGTTGGAAGGGTGAAATTACTGAAAATGCCACTGGCAGTTGCTTTTTTCCCGGGAGAGCCACTGTGTTCACGGACGAACCTACCATGACGCCTGATCTCCCAAGAATCCACATATACATATTTCTTTCAAATGCATGATTTTCTTTAAATAATTTGCCCCTTTAATTTTTTAATGACTTTCTTTAAATTAATATGTAGCCCCCTTGGTTTTTTAAAACAAGTTTATATATTTTTCTTCAAATTAATATAATACCCCTTGATTTGTTTAAAATATATATAGCGATTTATACTTTTTTATTTTTTTGGTAAGTTAGTGATCCATTATTGACGCTCGTGATTGATGAAACAAATATTTTAGTTTTAAATTCTCCCCAATATTAATACACTATCCTAACTTGTAAAAATAATCATATAGTTACCCTTAACTTTTTTTTTTTTTTTAAGTTAATGACATTTAACTCAGTAAACACATGAAGAGAGAAAAATTGTATAATTTATTGACCCAAAAGAATATTTTTTTTCCTTTTTCAAAAAATCAATTTCTTAACAAAATCTAGGTTGATCTCAAGTAGGCTTTAAAACAAAATTAACTGTAACAAATTTTTTGAATATATATATTAAAAGAAAACTATTGGAAACGTACATAGAATCATTTATAGATGATTTTTGCAAATTTTAAAAAATTATGTTTCGCTTTAACATATTATTAATATCAATTTTATATTTTATATTTCATAGAGTAATTTGTTCTTTAAAAACTCGAACTTTTTATATATGTGGATGTTTATTTTATTTTTATTTTGACCCCCACTATTGAAGGATTCTGGCTCTGCTCCTAACTAGGTTCGAATCTATTTAACATAAATTGCTTTTTGTGCTAAAGTATGTTCAATACCCCTTATTTTTTTGGTAAATTGGGTATCTTGTTGAATAATTAGTTATTACTTGTGCCTGAAGGCACAGAGTAATAAAAAATGATAAATAATAAATATATTTGTACTCATATCTAAAATCAAATCATTAAAATAATGGAGAGATAAATGAATTTAATCATCGATTGTAGTAGGGGTAAGAATTGATGGGCGACAGTGGTGGTGGTGGGGGGTGCAATGGTGATGTTGGTGGGGTGGTTGTTGTGGCGGCGGCAGTGATGAGGGGTGGTGGTGGTGGTGGCGGCGATGGTGGTGATGGTAAAACCGTAGAGTCAGTGGTGGGGCAGTTTCAAACACTATTTTTTTAAGAAAGTATTTATGAGAAATAATTTCTAGAAGTACTTTTAAAAAATCACTTCAAACACACCTTTAGAGGAATATTTTTCCTATTAAATTTAGAGTGTTAATATTAGTCATTAGATTAACTTTAAAGTAAAATTTAAAGCGATCTCAACCGCGAATAGCAAAAGTCATTTTGTTTATCTTTTGATTTATTATATATATTTGTCTTTCTTTTTTTCTCTCAAAATAAAGAATAAGGGTAAAGTAAATTTGACAAAGCGATTAAGAAGTTGACTTCCATAAATAGAAAATCTAAAATCGAGGTCTACTAGTTGAATAGTGATTTTTACTCTCCTCTTTCGTGAATTATATTAGATTCATTACTGTTTATTAAAAAAACGTATAAAAAGAATGGAACATCAATAATACAAAAAATGTGTCATTGCTTAGTAGATATATGAGAGAATGCAATCCATGCCAAATTGAGAGCAAAAAAGTGTTGATTAATCATAAAACAAAGGGTTCTTGAAGTTTGGAAGCTAGTATTCCTAAAGGGATTACTAATATTCTCTGTAGTCTTAGCAAGAATCACTCGGATGTTTTCATTTGATGATGATACTTCCACAAAGAACTATTCAATTTTGTTGGCAACAGTAATTATCAACCGAATTTCTATTTAAATTTGATTCAAATCATTATTTCTATTTTGTAATTCAGTCGTACAATCTCAATAATACTCTAGTGGATCATAACAATAACATTTTGTTTTTTCGGTGAACTTTTACCTAAAAATTTAGTGTTAGCTTGGATTCCTTGTTCTTGATCAACATTTAATCATGATTCTTGATGTTAATTAGAAATCATAATCTTAAACAAATTGATTCATTGAATTGCCAAATTTGGAGCTTGAATTGTAATATACTAGTCTATACAAGGGTATTTCTGTCACATCAACTTGGTTTATGTTGGTAACTGAAAATAATTTTCCAATATATATATATATATGTTGGTGGGCCAACTGTCAACCTCCACGTCTGAAGCCACATAAACCCTGCATGGCTCTTGTGACATGGCCGCCCATAATTTAATGACGTAACTGTTTGTCATTTGATTGTATTGGACCCCCACAAAAGCCAACCGAGGTTTTCCTGTGACTATTTGCAATAAAATGGGTAAATTCCATTAAGAGTCCTTCATCTTTGACTATGGCAGTGGATCGGATAGAAGGCAATCAAAAAAATTGCATGCCACCGACTAAAAATTACCACATAATTTTTCTCATCAATAAAGATTAATATTTGATATACTGAGTAAACAAGAAGTCTATTCAGCACTTTTTAAGTAAAAAGTCTATCCAACAATTTTCAAAGAGTAAAAATCATATTTAAGTAGAATAAACTCAAAAATCAGCAAAAATTATATCTAACACTATATTCAAAATTCAACAAAGACCATATTCAAGTAGTATAAAATTAGAAAATTCAAAATATTACATATCTAACACAGAAAATCAGATGTAGCATATAAAAATTGCAGATCTAACACTAAAAAAAAAAAAAAAATTAGAACAAGCAACATATAAAAACCTCGTATTTAACACATTATAGATCCGAAACAAAAATCTTCAATAGCTAACATACTACAGACCCTTAAATCTAACAAAACTCATCACAAATCTATTAAAAAGGATCATAGATCTAACAAAAGTCATNCTATGGCAGTGGATCGGATAGAAGGCAATCAAAAAAATTGCATGCCACCGACTAAAAGTTACCACATAATTTTTTTCATCAATAAAGACTAGCACGTGGTATACTGAGTAAACAGGTATACTGAGTAAACAAGAAGTATATCCAGCACTTTTCAAGTAAAAAGTCTATCCAACAATTTTCAAAGAGTAAAAATCATATTCAAGTAGAATAAACTCAAAAATCAGTAAAAATTATATCTAACACTATATTCAAAATTCAACAAAGACCATATTCAAATAGTATAAAATTAGAAAATTCAAAATATTGCATATCTGACACAGANAGAAGTCTATTCAGCACTTTTTAAGTAAAAAGTCTATCCAACAATTTTCAAAGAGTAAAAATCATATTTAAGTAGAATAAACTCAAAAATCAGCAAAAATTATATCTAACACTATATTCAAAATTCAACAAAGACCATATTCAAGTAGTATAAAATTAGAAAATTCAAAATATTACATATCTAACACAGAAAATCAGATGTAGCATATAAAAATTGCAGATCTAACACTAAAAAAAAAAAAAAAATTAGAACAAGCAACATATAAAAACCTCGTATTTAACACATTATAGATCCGAAACAAAAATCTTCAATAGCTAACATACTACAGACCCTTAAATCTAACAAAACTCATCACAAATCTATTAAAAAGGATCATAGATCTAACAAAAGTCATAAAAAAGAACGCAAAGATAATAGATTTTATATTATTGGACAAAGAAAAAAAAGTGGGCTATTGAATTTTGAAATTAACTTTATAGGTGGGTTGGGAATGAGATTGAGGTTTATGATCTTATACATATATATATCACGGGTTAGCGGGGGCGGGGAGGGAGTAAGTGTTGGTTCATCCCCGCCTCCATCCCTGTGCGGATTTATACGGGTATTCCCGTATATATCCACCATCTAATACATATGGTTCATCCCCAATCCAAACAAGACGGGTTTGGACGAATATCCATTTTTTCCTAGTTCATTACCATCCCTAACTTCGACACTAAAACACACAAATCTCTTTAAGTATAACAAATTACATTGACACCTCTCAAGATTTGTACGTGTGTAACATAAATAGGGCTGTTCATCCAAGCCGACAAATAAGAATTTTTGGATTCAATGTTCTGAGCTGATGAGTTGCGGAAAACTATTTCTTTAATCTACCCNTAAAAAAAAAAAAAAAAATTAGAACAAGCAACATATTAAAACCTCGTATTTAACACACCATAGATCCGAAACAAAAATTTTCAATAGCTAAAATACTACAGACCCTTAAATCTAACAAAACTCATCACAAATCTATTAAAAAGGATCATAGATCTAACAACAGTCACAAAAAAGAACGCAAAGATAATAGATTTTATATTATTGGACAAAGAAAAAAAAGTGGGCTATTGAATTTTGAAATTAACTTTATAGATGGGTTGAGAATGAGATTGAGGTTTATGATCTTACACATATATATATCACGGGTTAGCGGGGGCGGGGAGGGGGTAAGTGTTGGTTCATCCCCGCCTCTATCCCTGTGCGGGTTTATACGGGTATTCCCGTATATATCCACCATCTAATACATATGGTTCATTCCCAATCCAAACAAGACGGGTTTGGACGAATACCCATTTTTTCCTAGTCCATTACCATCCCTAACTTCGACACTAAAACACACAAATCTCTTTAAGTATAACAAATTACATTGACACCTCTCAAGATTAGTACGTGTGTAACATAAATAGGGCTGTTCATCCAAGTCGACAAATAAGAATTTTTGGATTTAATGTTCCGAGCTGATGAGTTACGAAAAACTATTTCTTTAATCTACCCTACATGATTGAGAGTAATATTTCGAACCGAATTTCATCCAAAAAATTAGCTTGGAAGGTTGGGCAAGAATGAACGCCTTACAAATTTTTAAATTTTAAGTTA